GACTTGTTGTATTTTTCTTCAAGACGTTTCACTGGTCATCCAACCAGCTTTCTCAATTCAGAAGGACTTGTACAAAAATTATCTGGCAATAAATATGGTGAATGTGGCTCCAATCCACATAATCTATTGCAACCAGGTGTTGATTGCATTTGCATAATTGGAGCTATAAGGTGTTAATAATATGTTAAAACAGCATTGAGGTGTTAAACAGCATTGTATGTGGCAGACAATAGAATGAGAAAGCTGGTTGGATGACCAGTGAAACGTCTTCAAGAAAAATACAGCCAGTTGCCTTGACTTAATTTTTTACAGATATACCATGACCTGGATGAATCAGAACCTTCACAGACATTTTATGACGATGGATAACTTGGTGTTCAGCTTGCAAGCTATTTCACAGCAATACATTTTGTATCAGGTTTATGTGAAAAAATGACTGCAATTGATGAATATAATGGAGCTTGTTTTTAGTTCAGCATCTACTAGAGTGGACCAAGTATCAGACACCATGGTCAAGTGATTATTTACCAGGGCTCCGTTAATGAAATTATCTTGAAGTCTATTTTATTAACTGATTAACAGAGTCCATGTGTAATCCACCCACTGTGTCACACTACATTGGCAGATCTAGCCTTGTCTGCGGATCATGGTCTTTATTAACTCCTTATGGCCTATACATACCAGCAGCACAGACCAGGCATGGCTTGTGTACATTGGGTGGGTAGCAGACTAAACACATGGGCTGTCCTACACCTTTCCCTGCCCCACTAATGCCACAGAGCCAGAACTCCAGAACTCCCACAGCCTACAATAGCTTTAACCAACATGTGTTTGTTCAAGCCACATGGGTTATTTTACTTGTGGTTGCCATTTTATCTCATGATTATATATGATTATAATCATGATATGCTACATCTCTGCCACCGCGCACCCCAGCGCCTCCTGTATGTTTGCATTCGACCATCGATAAATGTCAAATTCATATGTCAAATGTGCCCCCCCCCCCTCTGCTGGCCGCTGTGGTTTGTCCTGCCAGTTCCTACGTCTCTACAGGATGTATTCGCTGGTAGAAGGAACCAAAACTGCTGGCAGGGGGAAGAAGGCATTCAAGTCTTTCGACAGTAGAATGATTGCACTGGTGAGCCAAGTACAAAAATACTCTTATAGGCGGGTTTTTTGTAAAATAACACTGGTGACAGGGTCATTTGAAAGTGGAGGATGTGGCCTCCAGGTAAGCCTTTGTGATCACAGGTATACTTTTAAGGAAGGCAATATCAAATAAAGAGTGGAGGGAACCCTATTTAAGTCACCACAGTACAGGAATGACATTCTGATGTACCCCAGACCATTCTGGGGTATATCAAAACTCTATGATTACTTAGTTTTAAACTGCAATTATTTTTTCTGGCTTTTCCTGCATCTCTAATACGTAAGCAATGAGACACATACTGAGTCACTGTGCTATTGTAAATCTTGAACTTCGCCATTGCTTCATACAAACAATTGCTGAAGCTCACTGTACTGAGCACAGACATTATTCTGTTTTGAAAGAGCAGTGCCAGCTCATCTGCTGTACTTAGAAAATGAACTTTACCATAGTTGCACTAGATTAAATAGCAATCGCTAGTTTACAATTTGGAGGAAGAAATTATTCATTTTATGCATTTTGTGGACAAAATAAGTCAATGATTGGGTTTACAATAAGTCTAGAGTCAAGGCAAAGATTTGAGTAATTACAAGCCTTGCAAAGATGTCATGGTGGTTCTATAGAGTTGGCTTTCTGATGGTATCCACGATGGTATAGTTACTGTTAGTTACTCCTAGATTAGCTGCATATACTGTACTTTGTGTTTTTAATTTCCAGGTCATGTAGATGCCACTTTTTGTGCTTCTGTGAATTTAGTGCTGAATAGTTAATAGTTTTTGGACTTTGGTGGGGAAGTCTGGAAGTAATGCCATGGTGTTAAAACAGGACTGTACTCGATTATTTTGCCAGGCAAAGGATCAAGTCCTCTGTCCCTGTAATTAAACATGTTTGCAAGGAAGATCTCTGGCAGGGCCCTGTGGGTGACATTCTTAGAGTTCACACCTGCTTTCACGGTAGAGAGAATTGTCCCTTCCATATGGTTTGTTCAGGAGGCTTTTTGAAGAATCCTGCCAGGTAAGAGACTTTTGCTTTTTTGGGGAGCCCAACAAAGTTAAGATTGCTTCTCCATAGTCTGTTTTTAAAAATTTGCTGCTGCTTCTGTAAATATAAGATTTTTCCACCTTTTACCCCTATTTTTAGAGTAAGGCTGTTTTGACAGGACCTTTTTGAGGTAACTGTTGTTTGATAGAGGGAATGGTGGTGCGCCATCTTTGGGTGTCAGCTTTCAGTCATCTTTTTCTTGTTGGCAGTATTTGTTCAGCCAAAAGGCTGCCTGTCAATTAATTATTAGATAATTGCCTAATTAAAAAGGGTACAACAAAGCATATGGAAGTATGATATTATTTGCGATCTAAAACGATTCCAGGCAAAAGCCCTAAGGGCTAGTTCACACGAAGCACGTTACAGGAGCAGAGCAGTTACAGAACGGTTCAAAACTGCATCCAATGTATTCCAATTGTATTTTGGGCTCTAGTTCACACTGCAGCATTCAGTTCCAGAGCTTGTAAAAAAGCTGCAGCAAGCCCTATTTTTCCTGCTCTGGAACGCATGCAAACGCATCAAAAATGCATGCAAACGCCCTGGAACGCACTGAAAGACCATTTTAGGCTAGAATTTTTTTTACAAAAACAGCCCAGAGTGCGGAAAAAAACACACTGCAATGCGTGTGCAGAAACTCATGCAGATCTGGTCCGCATTTGGTGTGAACAAGCCCTTAGTGAGCTGCTAATGCCATCAGGTAAATTCTGCACTGTGCTAATCTGAGTTTTGTGTAATATGCTACACTCCTATATCACAGGCCACGTAACAGGTTCACTATGAGTAGCAGAAACATTAGACCTCTCAAACTTGTGCTATGTATCTTTAACTCTCTGCTTCATTTACCTCCAATCACAGTCAAACCCCCAAAGCAGGTTTGAATCTGACTGGTTGCTTTTTTATATATATTTTTGCATGCGAGGGCAGTAAGGAGGCTGCAGGAATGTATTACTATTAAGAAACCAGAAACAAAGTGAGTACACTGGTACATTAAAATAATACTAGGATACAATGCTAAAGTACTGAGATGGTAGGTTGCTGATGTATAAAGACTTGTCCCAGCGTATAACTGTTCACATGGCATTCAAGCCACTAGATGGTGCCGAGCAGCATAGGAAATTCCTACGCTCCATCTAGCATCTGTAATGCCATGAAAGCCTTTATACATGAGCCCCTTTAATTTGCAATGCTGATGTGCAAAGAGCTGTATTCTATAGAAATCTTTTAAAACAACTGTAGTCAGATTGGTAAACTATAAATGTTTGCTGCCTGCTATGGGTTACTGAAGAACTCACGTGTTTCTTTTATTCACTGTTTGTGAGTCATGTACTTGGCCTTGCCAGAATAATTACACAATTATTTGCTAATTATTTTTAACTAATAAAGTATCACTGTAACATACAAATATATGGCACTTATAAAAGTCCCAGATATATATTCCATTCAAAAGCAATCCCTTCAAAATCTTACTATGCAACAATGAGACTGCCACCTACAGTTTTTGGCTGCATAAACAACCCTTTTCTGAGCCTCACGCAAAGTGCAAAAAGTCAATGAGGGCATTGCCAACAGTGGTAAGTTCACCTATAGGTTAGTGCCTTCGAGGTGTCAGTTATTTCTGTTCAAGTAATGCTATTTAGGGTCCCAACTCATTTACTTTCACAGTCGTAATTTGTGTCATGAAAGAGTCCTTCTCATCTTGGCTGTGCTGGGGACACTCATGCTTTATTGTATAGCTGATCTGTAGATTACCACTCAAAATTTGGGCCACAACCCTATCATGTCTTGGATTTTGGTTTTGGATGGATAGTGATTAGCACACATTGTGTGCAGTGGCAATTTTCTACAGATCTCTGCTTGCCAGTACACGTTCCTTTACTGATCTCCTCCTCTTGCAATATGTTGGAGAAATTCTCATAGTAGGGCCAACATAATAATTCTCATGGTCCTGTACAATGTAAACCGGGGAAGGAATCAGCACAGAGACTTTATATTCATATTTCATGTAAATGTATGTATCAGGTAACCACATTGGCAACCACCCACTCAAAAAGGCATTAACTGTTTTGAGATGAGATTTCCTGAAGCACTTTATGAGAGAGAGATTTTATATACACACACACACACACACATACACACACACACACACTCTGAGTGGCCAGATTATTATGACCACCTGACGTTTGTAGGCTAATTAGCTATAATTTTGCGCTGAAGTTGCTAGAGGGCCAGACCATTATAAATAGGAAGCAGGTTGTTTACACGACAGTAGAAGTGATATTTTTCTGAAGATATGGGTAAACAACGCGATTTAACAGCCTTTGAACGTGGGATGATTGTTGGCGCTCGGGGCCATGGAGTGAGTATCAGCAAAACAGCAGAATTCGTTAAATGTTCAAGAGCAGCTGTTGTTAAAGTGTTTAAAGACTGGACTGTCAGCCGAAAATCTGGGTCTGAACGTGCGAATTGTGGCCATCAGGGACTAGTCAATGTTAGGGCAGAACGGAGAGTGGCAAGATTGGTACAAGACAACAGAAGGGCAACAGTGCCGTGTCAGATTCCTCGCATCACCTTTCAACATCTCGTGGAGTCACGAGGCGGCCCAACGAAGTACTAATGGGGTGGTCATAATAATCTAGAATGTATTTATTCATTCTAGACATATATTCCATTTATAAAATACATTTGTAAATGCCAATCTTTCAGCTGTAAGTAGTTGGCTTATCGTTATAATAGAAAATTGTTTGAATACTGCTACTGTTGCTGCTTTATATGTAAACTAAAATTTTTATATTTCTGTTCTTATTTTGAATAGATATGCTACAGCTTTAGGGCATCTGATCAATACAGAAAGACTTTTGGGGAGCCGGACATTAAAGGAACTCGAAGAAGCATTGTTTTGCCAGACGAAGACTTCTCCTAGTGTGACATGGGATTCCTATTGGGAAAGGAATGACCCACTCAGAGACATTGATGAAGTGGCTATTCCGGTACTGTGCATCTGCAGCCAAGATGACCCCATCCGTGGGGAGCCCCACAGCACAATACCCTTTGAACTCTTTGAGACAAACCCTCACTTTTTCCTATTGATGAGCCGTTATGGTGGCCACTGTGGCTTTATTAAAGAAGATGTGTCTAGTACAATGTGGAGTCACAGTGCTTTGCTTGACTTCTTCAAGTCTACTGTGGACTTCTTTGCCATGGAAGAAAGGCTTAAAGGTCTCTCAAGGAGAAAAGGAACCGTCTCTGGGAACAGAACACCACAAGACAAGGCCTCGTGTAGAAAGGAACAAAGCTGTCCCCATAATATCCATGAAATTTATAACTGGCAGAGATCCTACACAAGGTGACAGGAACTGTATTGCTAGATATTTTTATATGGACTATCAGTTTAGGGAGGAGAATAAACTGGCATCTGGGTAAAATCTTCATAAATCCTCTAATCTGTACTGATGCAAATGTGCAGAAGTCTCTGTTGTTGTACATGGAAGCCCTTTTTGCCATATTTTGTATTATTCAGCCTATCCCTAGTAGAATAAGCCATCAGATTGTAATATGTGTGCTGAGGTTAACACACCTGTAAAAGCTGAATTGTATGTGCGATATCTTTGGTAACTGGTTTGAGAGTGTGCAATCAGACTGTTATATGGACAGACATCTAATGCTACTGAATGACAAAATGGTCCTGTAAAGGTAATTTGCCTTCCTAATATAAAGAGGAAAAACAAATTTATGAAACCAAAAAAACATGCTGAAAAAATATTGTGCTATTACCAATATATTTTTTAATTCAAAAAGATACATACCCGGGTAAAATTTGAAAACGAAATAAAGGTATGTTTAAGAAAAAGAGTTTGTAGAAAAAGAAATAAAGTATTTAAAAGTTCAGCCTGCTTTCCTGTCCTGCTCAGTGGTCAGGAGCTGCGCCCTTGGTGGTGTGGAGGAGGCGTAGGTCATATCTACAAAAGGAGCAATGTCTGCTGGAACATAGACCACGCTCATTACTCTGACCAATGAATGCTCACCATTTGCTGGGCTGCAGTTTTGTGTACTATGCACAGATTGTACACTGGCTGGTGCGGGGGGAAATAAAAGTATCACAGAAAAGCATGACCAGCGGGGGTGGGGAGACTCTAATGTTTGAGAACCTCCATCTTGGTGCATATATAGCAATGGAAAAATTAAGAGCAAGTATGCTTGGAGGTAGCCCACTCCTCCATAAAGGCCCAGGGACACCAGAAGTACTGCACATCACATTGGCGGCTGAAGAAGCCCATTGTGTCCCTAATCTTTCTGTAGTCTGAAGATAAGAACTATGGGGGGGGGCTACCAGAAATTGTGCACAAGACAGCTCTGAATTTCATTTTTTTTTTTGCAGCCATCAAACTGATATAACAAAATACTTTCAATTGTATGTTTAAAGTTCATTCTCCAGATTTTCGAAGAAATTTCCTCATGCAATATTGCATTCACCTTTATAGACTTTATAAGTATGGTAAGTCTGCTTGTATAACCTGTACATATATAAAGTACAGTAACCCATAGGAATCTTACAAATCTGAATATAGCAGGATATTGTATATTGTCATTGGATCCTACCCCTAGTTCTTCATGCTTGCTCTCTTGAACTGTATAACTAAATAAACTGCCGAAGAGTATAAAATGTGAACTCTAACAGTAAAATGACTCGCCTGATATGAAGCCAAATGAGGGACTGCTCATGAGTGATATGGACTACTACTCAGGTCCACAAAAGGAGCAGCTTTATCATCATCCAGAAGAGCGAAATAGGTGGACTTTATTCTTACAGCTTCCAGTTCATCAATTTTGGTAGAAGCTATGGAACAAAGAATCATGACACGATAGGTAGATAGAAAAAAGAGATATGCAGAAGTAGACACACTGATGAGTAGATAAGATAAGGGTGCCAGCAAAGTAGTCTTCATCAGTGGAGAACAATATTTTTTCCTGATGTTAGCTGGTGTAGTCGCTCTTCCCTTGCTTTACACTGGACGGGTTTTTATCTTCCGAATCTTCAAAACTAGTTAGAGGCGGCACACTGCTGTATTCAGTGCTGCTAATAATGATCAGCAATGACTGGCTGTCCTTATCCTCTGATGGAAGCTGTCTCCTGACACTCATTCAGAATTTTGATCTACAACTGAAAGAAAAAAGGGAATCTGTTGTTACAAGCCCTTACATCAGCATGTTTAATCATCAAAGCATATCTACTCCCCCCCCAAAACCCACAAATAATATATTGTAGCTTACCAGTCCTTAGAAGTTGTGGCTGCATTTGTTTCCACTTTTCATATACAGATAGGGATGTCCCGATACCACTTTTTCAGGACCAAGTACTTCCCCGCGTGTACTTGCCGATACCAATTAGCTATATTTTTTTTAAAGGGACAGGTGACTTTAAATGATCCATAGTACAACTACATGTTATGTACTATGGATCATGATTTAACCTATTTATGTTAGCAGGGCAGAATTGTAACTCTATTGCTGGAGTGTAGTGGAGGTGTGTGCTGTATATATGTACTACATATACATTAAACAAGTCCAGTACACTATAGCAATAGATTTACAGTCAGCCCTGTCCCAGCTTCCCTCACTCACAGTTTCACTCCGATCCCTGTTGCCTCACGAGGTGCCTCTTGTAGTCGGCGCTAGGCAGGATCGCTCCGTGCTTAGCTTGTGGGAGGCGCTCTCAATTCTGCCCTGCTAACATGAATAGGTTAAATCATAATCCATAGTACATATACAGCACACATGTCCCGTACACTGCAGTAATAGAGTTACAATTATCCCTTGCTAACATGAATAGGTTAAATCATGATCCATAGTACATAATAGTACGTAACATGTAGTTGTACTACGGATCATTTAACCCATTCATGTTAGCAGGGCAGAATTGTAAATCTATTGCTGCAGTGCATTCTATATGTACTGTATATGTACAGTACATATAGAATGCACTGCAGCAGTAGATCACACAAAAAACTAAGCCCAGGCCCCGTCTTACTCACTGTTGCCTTAATCGCGGTGCCTCATGATTTTTCTCACAAGTGAGGACGTCGTCGGCACTGAGCTGGAGAGGAGCGTCGCGTGACTGCTGCTCCAGTGAGCCGCGCTCCAGGTGGGGTCCTAAATTAGGTGGCCGACGACTGCCTGGAGCACCGCCACCTGAGCAGCAGTGACGCAACGCACGGCGCGACGTGGTAAGTAAAAAAAAAAAGTGACACCCTCTCCAGCCCCGCTGCCCGTACATGCTG